ATGAAAGTGTTATGGTCATTGAGGAAGCCAAAAGGCATAACCATATAAGAAAATTTTCAAAAGTTGTGGTGACCCCATGTAATTCATTCATCAAATCGTTTATCTTAGGGATTGGGTGCCTAGACTTTAATGATGGCTTTCTAAATTGGTGCACATCCTCTATTTCGATCTTTCTTTGGCACCAAAAGAATGAGGATGACATAAGAGTTAAGGTTCTCTTGAACCTAGCCCTTTTTCTTCAAAGGAAAAATTCTTTTTTTTTTCTTTTCTTTTTCTTTTTCTATATCTCATCTGAGACATGTATCTCAATCACATGTCTATGATATCACAACTTTAGCAACTATACAACATATAACTTACAACTTAACATCATCAATTCATCTATTGTCTTACAACATAGATATTCATCATCATATATCATCATACACACCTCATAGTCAACAATATTCATCAATAATTCATCATAAAACAACAAGAATACAACAAGGATGTTGCACTCGATGCTACTCAAACGACACCCAACGCTGTCAAGATAAAGAGCCCTTTATCTCATCCATGCCCAATATCACATCACTCGCACCGGACGAGATTGAGGCAGAGAGTGCCCCTCTCTTTCTCTCTTTGGCCTAGTGTGGCAAGACCTACACCCAACTCCAATCAGGTAGAGGGTCTCTAACTGACTCACGCCCGACTCCACATCCACTAGTGTTTGGCGCAAGCCTAGTTATAGATGATTCTTTTTCCTCACGTCTGACACCATCCAACCCACATCTAACATGATTCCAACCCGGGATGAATCTTTCTCCTCTTGTCCAACGCCACTAATCTTGTGCCTAACGTGAGTGAGATAGAGACTTCTCTTTAGAGTCACACCCGACACCTTGAAGGCGTGCACAACATGGTATCAATTCCCACACAATGCAAAACTTGATTTCCTTCCAAAACCCCTAAAAAAACAATCCACTTAACATTTATCAACTTTATTATAATCACATCTTAGTAACAAATGTTAACAATTAATGTGTCGTCATGCATGTTAACTAAGGAAATCTCCTACAATAGAGGTGAGTAATTTAAGTGACTTGACCCTACCGAACTACAATATTAGACTTACCTCAACCAAGTCAAGTATAAGACAATGTTAGGCCTTAAAGAGAGTCAGGTATGGATAACTTAGTTTGAGTTTTTAAGTTTTTCCACTTAAATAACGAAGTATGGTACTACATCAAGGTAGAATAATCCGGTTATAGGCCTACCATAATATTAACTTGCAATACTAAGTCACTTATGGGATTTTCCCACCCTACCCTCCAAATACCACAACCTTCCAATACTAAGTTAGAAACCAAGTTTTCGACTTCGTACTTTACTCAGTTAGTCATTCAACTAAGATATGGTTTGGCTATTTCTATTTCAAATCACATAGGCTTTAGCAAGAAGATCAACTTTAAAACAACATATTTCACCTCTAGAATCCATATATCTCATCTGAGACATGTATCTCAATCACATGTCTATGATATCACAACTTTAGCAACTATACAACATATAACTTACAACTTAACATCATCAATTCATCTATTGTCTTACAACATAGATATTCATCATCATATATCATCATACACACCTCATAGTCAACAATATTCATCAATAATTCATCATAAAACAACAAGAATACAACAAGGATGTTGCACTCGATGCTACTCAAACGACACCCAACGCTGTCAAGATAAAGAGCCCTTTATCTCATCCATGCCCAATATCACATCACTCGCACCGGACGAGATTGAGGCAGAGAGTGCCCCTCTCTTTCTCTCTTTGGCCTAGTGTGGCAAGACCTACACCCAACTCCAATCAGGTAGAGGGTCTCTAACTGACTCACGCCCGACTCCACATCCACTAGTGTTTGGCGCAAGCCTAGTTATAGATGATTCTTTTTCCTCACGTCTGACACCATCCAACCCACATCTAACATGATTCCAACCCGGGATGAATCTTTCTCCTCTTGTCCAACGCCACTAATCTTGTGCCTAACGTGAGTGAGATAGAGACTTCTCTTTAGAGTCACACCCGACACCTTGAAGGCGTGCACAACATGGTATCAATTCCCACACAATGCAAAACTTGATTTCCTTCCAAAACCCCTAAAAAAACAATCCACCAAAGTGCATTGCATCATACAACATTCATACAACATATACATCAAATTTCCATTACCAAAATCAACATGCAATAAGAGATCAAGGGTTGACTACGTTCAAAATGCCACCATTTTCAAAGCCCTCAAAAACATATCTTAACAACCCATGAATCCAACAACTCAACCCGAAAACTAGAAAATTTTGAAAATGCAACCATCAACATGCATGCAAGGAATTAGAGCAAACTTCATGTACTTCTTAAGAGAACTAAAATTTTCCAAGAGGAGAAAAGGGAAAAAGAAACTCCACACAGTTCCGAGCCTATTGCGCCCAAAAGCATAGGCAAAGGTCCAAGTCCACAAGTCTAGCAATAAGTCCTTTTTTTTTTTGGTCAAAATTTTTTTTGTTCTTTCTTTTCTTCCTTTTCTTTTTACGTCAATTTGTTTTTTGATATTCCTTGGGTCCAATTTCGTTTCTTTAATGTTCAGCCCATTTGTTGCTTAGGTTTTGCACTTGTGGGTGGGATAAAAATTAGGTCAAATTTAGGAGTAAGAGAAAGAGACAAGTGGCGTGTTCTTAGAGGTTTTTAGGGAATCTTTTTAGTGGAATTGGTCTTGTACTATTTAGGACAAGTTGTTTTGTACTAAATTTCCAGCACACCCCTTAGATTCTTTTAGGGTTATTAATCATAGGGTTATTAATCATCAAATATAGACCATCACTAGTGGAAATGCAAGGGAAAAGTGGGCAGCAAGTTAGATGCATGTGCAAGGAAGCATTTTTACACATGGAAACTCAAAAAAAATACAAGGAACATGCTAGGACTAAATAACATGCATGAATGACTCCTAGAAAGGTTCTATATGTCACGCCCACTTATGTTATGCATCATGGTATTTTTTTGATTCATGCATTCATGCAAAGTGTTTGGCATACATACATGGAATTTTTTTTTTGACAAAATATAGGAAACAAGACTTGACAACACTTAAAAGATTCAAAAATCAAAAAGCATGTTTATCATGTTAATATGAGATTCAACCTAAAAATGGAAAACATGGATATCACCTAATCAAGGAAACCTAAAGATGTTCAAGGAAGGTTCACAAGATACAAAATATGAACCACAAAGCATTCAGCCACACACAAAGAAAGACAAAAACCGAATGGAAGACACAAAGCTAGAGGTTACCCTTGATGAACCTTGGCTCTAGATACCACTTGATGGAGACCTCCCTTCCATGGTTGATGATGGTGTGATGAAGAAAGTCACCTTGCCCATGATCTAGGTTCACCAAAGGGAAAAGATTGAGGGTGTTTAAGGTGGGGTTGTTTTGGACATGAAAATAGATGTGAGATGGTGAGGGTTGGCGGAAGTGTATGGTGCTCAAAGGTTGGCTCACTCCAAGTGAAGGTGGAGGCCACTCTAGGGTTTCACTCTCCAAGGGTGGAGAATGAAGGTGGTTAGCCGAAGTTAACTTAGGGACTAAGGATAGGATTTGAGGAAAAGAAATGCTCTCTCAAATTCATATAATCCAAAGTATTTACAAGGTGTGGTGCATTGGGTATTTATAGGAGTGGGAGGCATCTAGGGTTGCATTTGGAGCATGCATGGTCGAAATTCACAAGGCAAATGCACTCCAAATGAAATGCAAATTAACCCTAGATGCAACTTGGTGGCCAAGGATGGAATCTTTGGGTTTAGATTGGCTATATCTAGGTGCATGATAAGACCATGCAACCTTTGCCCTCCACTTGGGCCTAAGCCTTTCTAACACCAAAAATAGGTCCAAGAACACCAAAAAATGCGTCACCTCCTAATGTTAAACCCTAGCCCAAAATTAAAACCCTAATAATCTAGAGCACCCCATAATACAAGGGCAAAATGGGAAATACAAAAGAAAATAAATCCTATGACTAAGATACCCTAAAATCAAGGGTAAAATTGGAAATATAAGTAAAATAAATTCTATGACTAAAATACCCCAAAGTACAAGGGTAAAATTGGAATAAAGCAATAAAATTCTATACTACTCAAATTGGGCCTAGGAGATGGATCCATACATGGTATCTCTCCATTCTCCTAGCCATGAACCATGTGATGGGTCTCACATGAAGTACCAAGGATGGTCCTCCATCACTAGCATCCCAGATTGATTGTTTCTTTAATTTCTTTAGTTAAGTCAATTTGTATATATTTTATTTAGTATAGTAGTTTTTATATCCTTTGCTAACTCTTTGTTCTAGTCCTGTTCTTTGTTTATGCGAGGTAAAACTCCAGCTGAACAGTTACTCTTTGATCCTGAAGTAGAGAAAACAACTAGGAGAAACAATAGCAATACAAGAAGAAAGAAAGAACTAGAAAAGCAAAGAACGCAACAGGAAGATTGTATTGACTCAACTTCTTCCGTAGTTCAATCAAACTCTGATCTAAACATGGCCAATACAGGAGGAAATAATGGGAATCCAGGAAATCATGCCAATAATGGAAACCCAAGAAGAAATTTAGGGGACTATGCTCAACAACAAGGTCCTAAACATTTCTCTAGCATAGTAGCTCCAACTACTTCGAGAGCAATGGAAATGAAGCCTGCCTTCCTTAGCTTAGTTAGTGCACATCAATTTGCAGGGATGGACCATGAGGATCCATATGCACATCTATCAAACTTTTATAATCTGTGGGGTACCATGGGAATTCCTAAAGGTGATGAAGAAGCAGTTTATCTACATTTGTTTCCTTTCTCTTTGACAGGTAAGGCCAAGACTTGGATGCAGTCTCATCCTAATCAAAGTCTTATCAGTTGGAGTGATGTGGAGAACAAGTTTGTGAATAGATTTTATCCATCCTCAAAATATATTAGTGCTAAATCAGAAATTGCTACCTTTCGCCAAGGGTTGGATGAACCTTTCTATGAAGCTTGGGAGCATTTCAAATCTCTTCTAAGGAAATGTCCTAACCATGGTTTTGAGGATATTGCTCAACTAAACTTCTTTTGCAATGGAATCAAGCCAGAGGTTAAAATGCTCTTAGATGCAGCTGCAGGAGGTACAATGATGTCAGCTGACCCTGATGAAGCAACAAAAATCATAGAATCTTTGGCTTCTTCTGATCATCAAGCACAACATAGCAGACATAGTCATCCCAAGAGAGGTGTTCTTGATCTTAATACAAATGATGCAATTTTAGCACAAAACAAATTGCTTTCTCAACAGATTGAAGCTCTCACTAAACAAATGGAAAAACTTCCTCAACAGCTCCAATCTATTAGTTCAACTCCTCCACCTCATCAAGTTTTGAGTTGTGATTTCTGTGGTGGAGATCATGCTAATGGTTTTTGTGCAGGACCTAGTACTAGTCAAGAAGAGGAAGTAAATTACATGGGTCAACAACAACCAAGAGGAGGTAATTTCAATAATTTTTCTAACAATTATATGTAGGGATGGAGGAACAACAACAACAACAATCAGAAATATGGTTGGAAACAAGATGTAGGACCCTCCAATAGACAACCATCTCAAGAACAACACCAAGGTTACTTTTCTTCAATGCAGGAAAAGACAACCAAGTTGGAAGATACCTTGAACCAATTCATGCAAGCTTCTCTTGCTAATCAAAAGAATACAAATGCTTCCATCAAGAATTTGGAGATTCAGGTTGGTCAGATAGCAAACCAACTTGCCGATCAGCAAGGAGGATCATTTTCAGCCAACACCAAACCTAACCCAAAAGAGCATTGTAAGTCTATCACAACAAGGAGTGGAAAGGAGATTGGGAAGGGGATTGGAGATAATTTGAATGATATTGAGGGTATTGAGGAGAAAAAATTAAGTGAAAGAGAAAGTGATGAAGAGATCAAGGAGGAAGTTGAGAAAAATAAAGGTGAGGATGTAAATAGAGAAAATGTGAGAAATAAAGAAAAAGTTGAAAAAAAAGAAAAAAATGAAAGAAGTGATCAATCAAGAAAGAAAGAGAAAGGTGTAGCTATAATCCCACCAGTCAGGGATTTTCCATACCCACATGCACCTTCTAAGAAAGATAGGACGAGACAATTTGCCCGCTTTCTAGACATTTTTAAAGGCTGCAGATCAACATTCCATTTTCTGAAGCACTAGAACAGATGCCCACTTATGAAAAATTCATGAAGGAGCTTCTGACTAAGAAGAGAAGATTAACTGATGATGGAATAGTGGAGTTAGAGGTAAGATGCAGTGCAATCATTCAGAAATCCATACCTCAAAAATCCAGAGATCTTGGTAGCTTTACCATTCCAGACACCATTAGAAGATTACCTGTGGGAAAAGCATTGTTAGATTTAGGGGCAAGCATTAACTTAATGCCCTTATCTATGATGAGAAGGATTGGTGATCTAGAAGCTAGGCCTACTAGGATGACTCTTCAATTGGCAGACAGGTCAGTGAAATATCCTCATGGGATAGTGGAAGATGTGCTGGTGAAAGTAGATAAATTTTTCTTTCCAGTGGATTTTGTGGTGATGGGTATGGAAGAAGATAGAGAAGTGCCATTGATTTTGGGTAGACCGTTCATGAAGACTGCAAAAGTAATAATTGATGTAGATGATGGTAATTTGAAGGTGCGAGTGCAGGATGATGAAGTCAATTTTAATGTTTTTGAGGCTATGAAGTATCCATGTGAGCAAGATGAGTGTATGAGAGTGGATGTGATTGATGATTTAATTCATTCCACTAGGAAGCAGTTGCATATTTCTAGTCCTTTGGAGAAAGCACTCATGGATGCCTTGGAAGATTTGAATGAGAAGGAGGAAAAAGAAATTGAAGAGTGTTTGAGGGATCTTGATTCTGCAAAAGATATTCTTCCAGAAAAAGTGAAGATTGAAGAATTAGAGAAAAGTGCAAACATGGAAGTGCTAAAACTAGAATTGAAGATGTTGCCACCACAACTTAAATATGTATTTTTGGAAGATGGTGGAAATAAACCAGTTATCATTAGCAATTCTTTGACTCCCTCTAAAGAGGAACAATTAGTTAATGTGTTGAAGAAAAATCAAGAAGCTATAGGTTGGACTTTAGCAGACTTAAAGGGTATTAGTCCTTCCTACTGCATGCACAAAATTCATATGGAGCAGAACTATAAACCTGTGGCTCAACCTCAAAGGCGTTTAAATCCAACAATGATGGAAGTGGTGAAAAAAGAGGTTTTAAAGCTTTTAGAAGCATGAATAATCTATCTTATTTCAGATAGTACTTGGGTAAGTCATGTTCAGGTTGTACCAAAGAAAGGAGGGATGATAGTGATTCAGAATGAGAAGAATGAACTGATTCCGACAAGAACTGTCACTGGTTGGAGAATGTGTATAGATTATAGAAAACTCAATCAAGCAACCAGAAAATATCACTTTCCACTACCGTTCATGGATCAGATGCTTGAGAGGTTAGCTGGACAAGCATACTATTGTTTCTTGGATGGATACTCTGGTTACAATCAAATTGCAGTGGACCCAGAAGATCAAGAGAAGACAGCTTTCACATGTTCATTTGGTGTCTTTGCTTATAGAAAAATGCCTTTTGGTCTATGCAATGCACCAACTATATTCTAGAGATGCATGCTTGCCATCTTTTCTGACTTAGTTGAGAAATGTATAGAAGTTTTCATGGATGACTTTTCTGTGTTTGTTTCTTCTTTTTCTAATTGTTTGGAGAATCTTGACACTGTACTGAAGCGGTGTATTCAGACTAATCTTGTGCTTAATTGGGAGAAATGTCACTTTATGGTAACAGAGGGAATTGTGTTGGGCCATAAAATTTCTTCCAGAGGTATTGAAGTTGATAAGGCTAAAGTAGAGATCATTGAAAAGCTTCCTCCACCAACAAATGTCAAAGGAATCTGAAGTTTCCTTGGTCATGATGGATTTTATAGACTGTTCATCCAGGACTTTTCAAAGATTGCAAAGCCATTAAGCAACTTGCTCAATAAGGACACTCAATTTAATTTTGATGCATCTTGTTTGAAGGCTTTTGAATTATTAAAACAAAAATTGATTTCAGCTCCTATCATTGTTGCCCCTGATTGGAATTTAAATTTTGAGCTGATGTGTGATGCTAGTGACTATGCAATTGGGGCAGTCCTAGGTCAAAGAAAATCAAAGATTTTCCATGCTATACATTATGCTAGTAAAGTTTTAAATGAAACTCAAGTTAATTATGCAACTACTGAAAAAGAATTACTAGCTATTGTATATGAATTGGAAAAGTTTAGATCATACTTGATTGGTTCAAAAGTGATAGTTTTTACAGATCATGCTGCAATAAAATATCTTCTGACAAAGTCTGATTCTAAACCTAGATTGATTAGATGGATTTTGTTATTGCAGGAGTTTGACTTAGAGATTAGAGATAAAAAAGGAAGTGAAAATCATGTAGCTAATCATTTGTCTAGATTGGTTAATAGTGAGGTGACTGCACTGGAACTAGAAGTGGTAGAGGAATTTCCTGATGAGAAGCTTCTAGCAATTCAAGCAAGGCCATGGTTTGCTGCCATGGCTAACTTCAAGGCTGCTGGAGTTATCCCTAAGGATTTAAATTGGCATCAAAGAAAGAAGTTTTCCAGGGATGCTAAGTACTATGTGTGGGATGATCCTCATCTGTTTAAGATTGGAGCTGATAATCTTTTAAGGAGATGTGTGACCAAGGAAGAAGCTGGTAGCATTCTTTAGCACTGCCATAACTCACCATATGGAGGTCATTTCAATGGAGAGAGAACTGCTATAAAGGTTCTCCAATCTGGATTCTTTTGGCCAACTCTATTTAGAGATGGTCATGAACATGTACAAAGATGTGATAATTGTCAAAGGACAAGAAGTATCTCTAAAAGACATGAAATTCCCCTACAAAACATTCAAGAAGTTGAGGTGTTTGACTGTTGGGGGATTGACTTCATTAGCCCATTTCCTTTATCATTTTCCAATGAGTATATTTTGCTGGTTGTTGAGTATGTGTCTAGATGGGTGGAAGCAATCCCGACTCAAAAGGTAGATGCTAAAACTGTAGTGAAATTTCTCAAGAAGAACATTTTTACCCGGTTTGGCACTCCTAGAGTGTTGATAAGTGATAGAGGTTCTCATTTTTGTAATGTCCAACTTCAAAAAGTTTTGGAACACTATGGTGTAAGGCACAAGGTAGCAACAACTTACCACCCTCAAACAAATGGTCAGGCAGAGGTATCTAATAGAGAGATTAAGAAAATTCTTGAGAAGACTATTACTTCTTCAAGAAAGGATTGGTCAATCAAATTGGAAGATGCCTTGTGAGCTTATAGAACAACTTTTAAAACTCCTATAGGTCTATCACCATTTCAATTGATATATGGGAAAGCTTGTCACCTTCCTGTTGAGCTTGAACATAAGGCATTTTGGGCCTTAAAATTTTTGAATTTGGATGCTAAAACAGCTGGAGAACATAGGAAGTTACAACTTCTTAAACTTGAGGAAATGAGGTTGAATGCTTATGAGTCTTCTAAGCAATACAAGGAGAGAATCAAAGCATATCATGATAAGAATATTTTAAAAAGGAACTTCAAACCTAACCAATCAGTTTTATTGTTCAATTCTAGGATGAGATTATTTCTGGGAAAGCTTAAGTCTAAGTGGTCAGGGCCATTTTGCATCAAGGAAGTCAAGTCTTATGGTGCAATTGAAATAGAAGATCCTTCATAGAAACGAAGTTGGGTAGTGAATGGGCAAAGATTAAAAACTTACATAGGTGGTGATTTTGAAAGAGTCATTGCTGTGTTTACATTGGAAGATCATTGAAGATATTGGCTTTGTCAAGCTAGTGAAGTTAAAAGAGCGATTACTGGGAGGCAACCCAACAATTTCTCACTCTTTTCCTTTGATTTAAGTTTTATATATTGGTGTGTTTAATTCATGCTTTTATGTTTTGTTATCAGTGTGTGAAGTTGAGTTTAATACATTTTGATCTTGTTGTGTGT